AAACCTGTGTGGCATTTAGGCCGCAACAATCCCAAAAAACCCAGGAGGGACTGGTTATCGTCTCTGATTGAGCTGCAAACGTGTTTTTAAGTTCCTGCAACACAAAAAAATGTCAGCAAACAAATCAAAACTATATAAGTAGATCTGAAATGTGCAGCCGCGACAGATCCAGGGTCAGTTTATTACTCTCCTCTGACAGACATTATAATAATTATGATACTTCGCCCTCTGCTCAGCGTCACTTCAGAATCATTTCCAGTCAGAACTTTATGTAAACAACCAGTGTAATACAGATAAACAGCAATAAACAACCAGCCAATCGAGGACAGGAAGTCACATCAGTTCCTCTTATCATTAACGATGATCAGCTCAGTATCTGTCCCACACTGATTCCTCCTCTGTAGATAACGTCGTGACGGAAATTTGCATGTTTTCCAAGTGGTGCGTTGCCATGAATGATGATTTGCATGAATTTGGTTAAAAGGTTTCCCAGGTGTTTCACTTTGTGCGTCTCCAACTTTCCGTCCGCAGTGTATTGATCAGCTGACGGTGGTTCAAGCTGAGCTGCAGGAGTCGGTGAAGGAGCTGACGAAGAGCAGGAAGAAGTACCAGGAGGCTGAGACGATGGCGCAGGCTGTCCGAGAGAAGGCAGAGCTGGACGCCAAGTATGAACCAGATTATAGTGGTGTTATTCGTAGGTTTACACGGGGAAAAGGGGGTTCTCGCTACCTTTAAAACTCTCGCTATAAAGTGACCAAGAGCAAGTATATCATACAAACGACTGGAGGTGAAACCAGCCGTGTTCCCAATGCATCCTGGAAAACTCCTGAAATTTAGAGACTAGTTTTTTAGTCATGCAAACACGTGGAAATTGATTAAAGTGACCAAATATCCTATAAATCGTCTACTCAGATTGCCACATTTGAGTCTGTTTATTTCAAACCACTGAGCGAAATTCTCCTTTCTAGAAACACATAACATCGAATGTGTTGTTGCTGCGGTTGATAAATACATGCACAGTGATGTTTCACTTTCTAGAAGATTTATTTTCTGTAACAAAATAAATTCCACTTGATTTGAACTTTTACTTATGAGCTGTGGCCAAATTAATGTGGTCAATTTGCCACGAAACGGCAGCTTATGTGGCCGTCTTTAAAGTGCTGGATTGTGAAGAAAAACTCTTAATTTGTTAAAAAGAGTTGATTAATCAGGAACTTGTATTGATTGATTGATCGAGTCAGTCATTTTTCAAGCTGAAAGGCCAAACATTTGATGGTTATAGGTTCTTGTATGTGAGGATTTATTGCCTTGACATTATGGTAAGTTGAATATCTTTAGGTTTTTGGACTTAAGATCTGTTTTTGGGACGTATAAAAAGACTCCACTGTTGTCTGATATGTTTCTTTTTTCCCTCCCTCATTGAAAAATACAGTATTTGTAAATGTTTTTTTTTTTATTTCACAAGTTTTCTCCGTGCACTGAAGTTTCCACATCACACTTGTGTAAATTTGCACTTTGGACCATGATTGGTTTCCAACATACTTCACGCTTGTAGATACACGTTTTAAAGATTCAGGGTGAGCCGATGAATGTGAGATCAGTGCTCCGGTGTTAAACTCAGCTCAAACAACTGAAGGAACAACAAGCCAAACACGTGTTAGTGGAGGAGGAGGAGGTTTAATAATCTGCTCTAATCAATAATGGAAACAGTTATTCGTTGCAGCCCAACAAACGACTAATATTGAGGCTCTACGCAGACGTCTCTTCTCTCATTCTCAACACTTTGTCCTGGCACAATACGAACAGCTGGCACTCACTGACTCACCACATTGCAGACATTTTTCTGCCCATTAGGAAAGTTTGTTATGGAGTTCTGCTGTCGCACAGGCTCAGCAGCTGGATTGGCACTCATCTCTAATACTACAAATGTTACTTTCTTCTGGCCAGTTGTGTACACACACACACACACACAGTCTGTTCGTCACATCCCTTTAAATGTCTGTAAAGGTAAAACCCTCCTGTGACTGGAGGTCATTGAGGTCTAAAGCAGTAACCTTGGATAGTACTAACTGTTTATTTCGGTGCAGTTACGTACATTAAGTCAGTTTTTGCTATTTGAAAGTAATATATTGACTTTAAACAGTTGAATAACAGTATTTTTAAATGCATTTAAATGCCTAAGATGCCTCCTGTTCAAGAATCTGTCCGTTCTCTGCTGATCTGATTAAATTCTGAAAGAAAAAACTCAGTGTCAGACAGTGCTTCTTGTCTTTTCTTACCTTCTTCTCCCCTTTTAGTCAGATTTTTATTTATTTGTCACTTTATATACATTTTTTAAATCTGTTTTATTACTTTGTTTATCTATTTATACTTCTGAGACAGTTATGTTTTATTATTATGCCTTTTTCTTACTTCTTCTCATTGATAACAAACTCACTTATTACTATTTTTATGCGTGAAGCACATTAAGTTAAATAAAACTACAAATAAAGTCTGATTGATTGAGTGATTCTTCTGTTCAGGTCCAAGCTGAGTCTCTTCCAGTCCAGATCCAGTCTTCAGAGGGCGAGCGTAAAGGTACCAAGATCTACCGACGTCTAAATAACTTTTTCTCTGCATCTTCCAACGTTTCTGTGCCGCAGTCAGCAGTGTGAACTTTTACCTTCCAGCTGAAAGCCAAGAGGAGCGAGTGCAACTCCAAAGCCACGCATGCCAGAAACGACTACCTTCTCACCCTAGCAGCCGCTAACGCTCACCAGCAGCGCTACTACGACACAGACCTCATCGACTGCATCAAGGTGGGGTCACACACACTGAAGGGGCGGGCGGGTGGACGGTGGGAGATCGACTGTGAGCTTTAAAACACGTGTCTGTCTGCAGATCTTAGATGGCAAAATCTACGAGCAGGTAAAAGATTACCTGGTCTCGCTGTGTCAGACGGAGCTGGAAAGTTCCCAGGCTGTCCACAACACCTTCACCAGCCTCTTGAACAGCTCCAGTGGGGTGAGTCTCTCTTCTGGATCCATCGTGAGGATGTCCCGATCAGTTGTTGTGGCTCCGGTGTCGCTACCCTTGGTGCTTCCTGCCCGGTCGGTACTGCGCAGGTGCAACTCTCAACAGAGATGAGAAGGAAACCAGATAGCTTCACTAGTTCTTTACAAGATAAATGATCCAAATACTGAATTGTCCCGACGTCAAAAACATTAAGTTGATCGGCATGAACTATTGTTTTGATATAAATGAAGATTTAAAGAGATAATATGCAACATTTATGCATTAAAAGCCGTCATAAATTTAGTTTTCATCCAGTTAGCAGCCACATTTTTACCATCGACTTGTTTTTAATGGGTTTTACAACAACTCCCAGGATCCCGCGCTACTTTACGACGTCAACAAACTCTCTTAACTACTGTTATTGTTGTGTTGCGAGAGATCTTTTCATACGTTTAAAAAGGGAGGATGCGACTCCTGAAACCGACGTGTCGCTATGAGCCAGAGACAACAACTAGAGCTTTACTGTCACTGCATTTAATCCGGTTTATTTAACCTGATTTTACTCTGTTAAAACCTCAGGATGGATCTGTGCTCCGTCAGTATCGCTCCGTGAACTCCAACCGCCTCACCGACCGCTAATTAATTGGAAGGTTTGAGTTACCTCGGCGCTCCTCGGTTACAAGCTCTCGAGCCGCCGTTGGCCTCTTTTTTTTTTTTAGTCTCAACAGCGCTCACATTTCAGCCCATGTGCTTCAACACAACTCCCCCTGACACTGATCTCATGTGTACTCTGTTTAATGTGACATGTGTCTTTATTATGTTTTAGAGTCTCAATATAGTTTTTTTAAAGATCGGTTTCTCTGTGCAGCATTTTAAAAATCCACTTCTGGCTCTGCTGGTCTAATGGGAGCAACGTAATCGCTCTCAGATGTTTTCTAATGTGTTTTCAAAGCAATGAATGAAATGTTTTAATGATAACGACGCTGTTAGGCTTTAATGGGATTGGGTTATGATTATCAGGCACTTATCACTCCCAGTGCACTTTCATTTGAGAATATGTTTTGTGTTTGTCTGATTCTTTAACTCACTGGTCTTTAGTTTCACAGCAGTAAACCGGCGGTGCAGCGCTGTTAGGAATATTTAAGGTTTGATTATTGCAGTAACACCTGAGGCAGACTCACAGAACATTACTATATGCTATTATTAATTAAAGATAAATGTGGATTAAATCACTAAATAAAGAACTGACGACTGAATTATCTTTAAAAACCTTTTCATTCTGTTTTATAAAAATATATAGAAATATTTAAACTTCAGTGTGTTTATGAATATTCACATTATTTTAACTTTGACATTATTTATATTATATATATATATGTGGAATTGGTCCATTCAGACACATCTGTATTTTAAGATGATGGTGTTTCTCTTCAGATTTCTCTCAGCAGCTGCTATACAAATACAATTAAAGTGAATTATTTAATGGTTTTAGACTGTTCTTATCCCATACAGGTCATTATTGTTAATTTAAAACCAACTTTTTCAGTCTCAAACTGCCCCACAGCTGTGAAACTAGAGGCCTTTTGAAAGAACTAAAATTAAAATGAAGGAACGCTGAGCAACCTGTCACAATAAAGGCATAAAGCTGCATGGAATAAAATCCACTAATAGTTTATTTTGAATAATTTAGTAGTGTAGTTGCAGATCTGTGTTGAAATGCATAAAGACAGTAATTAAAGTGTATAACTGTGGTATAAAAGTAGGTTTACTCATTAATTTCTACATCTTTTTTCCTTAAAACCACATATTTGTAGGTACTGCAGGAGTTTCACCAGCAGCTGTTTGTACAGAAGAACATCATGTTTCAACAATCTGCGGACTTCTTGTTCCAGCCCAGCGACACGGATACGGTAAATCCTGATTATTGATTCATAGATAAATTCATAAAATGTGAATGCTAATGTTATCTGCTCGACAGATTACGGTTTGATTTGTTTAGACTTCGTCCCCAAAATCAGTTCACGGGATTGTTCCTGACAGCTGAATGGGTCGAGTCGTGTCCCACAAGGCTTCGATATCCGGGTTCAGCGCGGGAACTGAGATTATTTCTCATTCGGTTTGTTTTATGTACAGATTTAGCTTCTCATTTCTTAACTGCTGGACAGTTTTGGTTTGTATCCGTAAGACTGAACCGGAAGAAACGAATAAATCACTTCCACTCGATAAGATCTCTTCCTGTGTTAGGAATTAAATATAGATGAACCTTTCCAACAGATAACCCCTACTTTTAATTTGTGGTTGAGCCTTTTACTGTCCTGAACTGAAGGATGTACGTACAACAGAACCATATTTTAATTGTTCTTCAGAAGTCCTGTTACATTAGTTAACCAGATTTATGTGAGTTATAAAAATGAAAATAAATGTACGTGGAGTTTATAAGTAAATGCAAACAAGTCTCTCCCAGCACAGACACCATTTAACAAGCAGTGTCAATGTAATGACGTCAACAATAGGAGACGAACTTTGACCAGTTTGCAAACATACAGCATTTCCTTTTGTGTCAATCATTATCTTTAAGAGTTATATACTTAAATATATATAATTATTAATATATATGATTACTGGAAGAAGAAATTATAAAAAATCCTTCCTCGTAAAAAAGAAAGTTGTTTTGTTCTTTGTAGACAAATCTTTGAACCCTTCGTAATTCCTGTGACAAGCTTCCTTCAAAATAAAAGTCAACTCGTGTTTCGCCCAGTTAAATGCTTTTAATGTGAAGCTGCAGCAGTGGTAAGTACAGCATTTGTTTCCAGGAATAAAAGTATCAACCAGAACGTCTCGATCACCTGCGGTGGCTGTTAGTTTAGGAGGAAAGGGTTTCAGAAAATATTGATATACTTGAGTATCGGCATTTTTTGTTGCATTATATAAATGTTGTGATTAAACCACCATCACTAGATGTACAGTTACATGTGCCGATACACAGCCCTGTTAGGAAACCAAAATCTATAACAGCTCATCCACACCTGACTCATGAGCCGTAATTCACGTCCAATCGGACTGCACACCTGTCCTGTCTCATGAACTGGAATCTATTCCCAGACACTTCTCCACCCATTCTGGACATTTATATCATTTTTCCCTCTAATAAAACATGAAATATCAGCCCCAAAACACTTCATCATCGGCCTTCAGCACAGACCCCGGTGTGCAGATCTCCCAGTGGGTTCTCGATGGCTGCTGGACGTGAAGGTAAATGCGTTGCAGTCCGTGTCGCACACACTTTCAACGCTGCCGGTCCTCCTCTGCAGTCGCCCTCTGCTCCGCCGGACAACACTGGACAATTTGTTCAAACTGCAAACGCTGGCGTTGTTTTCATTGGAAGTCAAACAAGCAGCAGCCTGTTCCTAAAGAAAACATTAGTGGTGGAGAGCCTCCCCTCCCTCCCTCACCCTCCCTTCCCACACCACTTGCACCAGACAGAGGGATCCGGTAAGGAATAGAGCTGAACCGGGAGGGAGGGGCAGGAGGTAGGCCGGGCCCTGTGAACGGCCCAGCTGTGAAAAGGAGGCATTGTGAGTGGGCCTCATCAGACTGC